TTAGTGTTTATCAATATTTGTTTTGTAAGGTGGGTCTGGTGTGGTGGCACACACCCATAATCCCACCATTGGAGGCTGGATCATCACAAGTTCGAGGCCAGCCTGGGCTACATAGCAAAACCTTGCCTCAACCAAAAAGAAAAAAGTCTGTTTTGTATTATCTTTTAAAAAGCTTTTCAAAAATTTAAAACTTCAATTAGTGAATACCTTTAAATATTCAAATATTTTAAGTATTTTATTGAATTATAAACCACTTTGTCTCCTCAGTGTAGACATTGCGGGCTGGGGAGATCTCAGCAGCTGAGGTCCTCGGCTGGCTGGTGCAAGGCCCTGACCCTCCCCCCACGCGCCAGCTGGGCCCGGATCCCAGCCGTGATCAGGAGCTTTCCCTTGGCCTCTCAGCCCCTGATCATCCCTGGGTCTGTGCCGCGCCCTTGCCACCCATGTAGCGCCCTGTGCTGTGAGCATCGGTGCATGCAGAAGTGAAGCCTCGGAGTCTGGCTCCTGAATGACAGAGGTGTCCCAGCCCGGCCACCCGATGGCGCTCACGGTGAGCCCCACCGCAGGGAGGCCGACTCGGTGGGTCTGGGCCAGGGCCGTGCCGTTTGGATTTTACCAAACGCGTGAGGCTTCTGTGGGCCATGTGGCCACAGACCAGTGTGTGAGGTCCACAGTCCAGCTCGCGGTATTATTCGAGTATCTCACTCGTTCTTGTGAAGGAAGTTTTTGTTAGTTTCTCTTATTCTTCTTTCTGTACAAAAGGCCTGTTTCCCGGTCTGCTTGGCAGATTTCTTTTGAGAAAAAGTTCCAGTGTCTGTCCTGGAGCGTCCCTTTCCTGTGCTACCACTGTCCAAAGGTGGTGCTCCGATTCTGTGCCCATCTTGCTTTCTCTGGTACATGCTGCAGTGAGCCCACGGGACAAGGGACCGAGCTGCCTCCTGGGATGGGAGCTGTGTGACCCCAGCGAGGTGTGAGCCGAGTGGCAGCCTGCCTGGGGCAGCGTGGTGCTGGTGGAGTGCGTTGCGGAGCGTCTGCCCACTTGTTGTGAAGAGACAGTGTGGACGACAGACGTGGAGCACCAGCACAGTTGTGCAGCTGTTACGTGGCCTTTTTTTTTTACGTGGCCTTTTAATAAAAAACTTTACATTAAAATATACCAAGTTAATATTTGTACATGTACGAGTCTATCTTTCTTATTAAGAGCTTTCTGAAGCAGTCAGGTTATGCTCAGTGGCAGCTACTTCTGAGTTAACTCGTAGTGATGTGGAAAGGCTAGTAAAGGGACATGTCTTCATTGTCTTAGTTAAAATTATTTACTTGAGTGTTCGATGTACTGTGTACATACTGTTCGGCCTTAGATTTGCCTTACTGTAAAACTAGGCTGGGGAACGTGCTCGTAAAGGGGCAGTGCCTCCTGCATCCTGAAGGAGGACCCAGCAGTGGGCAGTTTCCGCCATTAGGTGAGATTTCTAATTCTGTCCTCCGAAAAGAAAATGAGTCTGCTCTCTTGGTGTTTGATGGCTCCAGCCCATGTTTTCCAAGCTCGACATCCCACTCCTACCGCATGCGGTGGCGATTTCCAGAGCACTCAGGATCCCGGCCCAGGCCTTCTGTAGCTCACACCATTGCTAGAGTCACACATTGGACACCGTAGAGCAGCAGCTCTACAGTGACGCAGTCAGTTCTTTATTGAAAAAGGGCCACATAACAAAATGGAAGATGTTGGAATCTCTTTAGAAGCACTCAAGGGAATATTGCAAATCAACACAGAAGAACACAGCTCGTATGATGCTACTGTACAGACATCGGGGAGCTTCGTGCAGGTATTTGGGTGGGAGCTGTGCTTCTGTGGGTCAGCTGCTAACCACCACCTCTCCTTCCATAATCATGGAGGCGGCGTCTGGAGCACGTCTGACTAATTTGAGGAAGGGACGGTGGGACTTGGGAGGCTTAGTAGGCCAGAAATAGGGACTGAGTGACTGCAGAACGGGCACACGTTCTGTTGCCCTGTTGGTGACGAAGCGAGGGCCGGTGACACAGAGGACACACCCGCTCATGAGTCCTGGCCAAGTGTTGACTTTAGGTTGAAGTGGTGCTGACCAGGGGGTGGGGAGGGGGGGAGAGTGGGGAAAGACTGGCGACCCTTAAGGCTTGGTAGAGGTGCCGCTGTGTTTGACAAAAGGGATGCAGAATGAGCAGCTAGCCCGAGGGCTGTCTGTTCCTAACTTGCCCATCCAGTAACTGCGCAGGCAGGCGCCTTGAGGAGCCGAGCAGCACAGCGAGGCCTGGCCCTGCCCTGGGGGGCGCAGCGTGCAGGAGAACCCAGGGCCGCGAGCACGAAGCACACGTGGGTGCGTGGGCCCCTGTGGGTGCCTGGCCAGGGCACACAGCGTGGGTCCAGATTTCCACGCCTCCAGTCCGTGCTGCTTCCTGTTATGTTAAAGACGAATACTTTCCAGGAGTGTGAAAGACGCCAAGGGTCTGTGCCTCATCTTCTGACAGGGTGGCTGGTGAACTTGTCGGTGTTAGTGACAACGTCGTGCAGGCTGTCCCCAGCCAAGGGCGGTGCCCCAGGCCGGTGGTGGCTAGGCCTGTGTCTCAGTTACTCCTTCCAGGTATTGCTGCTCTTCATTGAAGCTGGACAGGTGCCAATCCAGCTTGCCTTTTCCCTTGACGTTTAGAGGTGGAGCCCGCGACACGAGATTGAGCCCCAGGGTCCCAGCACAGGCAGTGCAGCAGCAGAGCTCCAGGGCTGCGCAGGAAGGAGGGGTCTGCGCTCCCCCTGCACTTCTTGCTCCCCTCTGTCCCCTCCTCGCTTGAACCCCTCTGTTGGGGTCCCATGTTGTTTCACCTAAGATTTTCCGCTTCTCCCCTTTGGTCTCTCCCTGTCTCTCTGTGATAAGCCTCTAGAGTTTTCTGCTGAGCAAGAGACCGATACAGTGTACCACAGTGTACATCAAGAAGAGGGAACGTTTTTACTCACTTGTAATTTCTGGCAAATTTTGTAACTTCTCTAATTTTTTCCTACTTGCTGTTGAGAACTTTCCTTGCATTCAGTAGGTCTCTGTGTGGTAAGGTGAGGAATAATCCATGCTGTGAGAGATTAAGATCTCCTTGCAGTTGAATTGATCTTCTGTCCTGTGGGCTAATTTATCCCCAATGACAAGAACTTTTGCTCTTTGCATTGGCCTGATGCAAAAAACATAAAGGTTTTGCGGCAGCACTGCTGGAGAGAGACGTCACAGCAGCGCCTGTGCGACCTGGAACAGGCGCTGGCTTCAGGAGTGCAGCTACCAGGACTACACAGGTGGGGGCCTGGGGGCGGGGCAGGGCCAGGTGGGGTCACAGGTGGACAGCAGCGTGCTTGGAGGAGGACGAGGTGGTCACCAAGACAGCCACAGTGGCTTGAACTGAAGCCAGCATTACCGTCTCGTAGGTCACCTCCTCCTTCTGGGAGGTTTACTCTTCCTCCACTTTCAAAGAGTTTATTGTTGACTATGAAATATGCTTGATTTGAGAGTTATAACCACAGTCCCCATGAATAGCGGACCTTTCTGAATTATGTAATAAAATCATTTGCTTTCTCCTTTCTTTCTCCTGCACTTGTTTTTTTCTTTCAAGTCAGTATTTCATTTTTTAAAATAACTCTGACTTCATTGAAACCATAATAATTATGTCACCTCTTGGTTTGGGAGATAATTGATTAAACGTATTTTATGTTTTATATCTATTGATAGTATACAGAAAGGGATTGATATATTTTAATGAACGTATTTCAGTACTAAATTATGTAATCCAGAACCATTTACATATGTAATCTTTGTGAACAAGATAGATTAAATGTGATGTTATTATAATATGTGTTAAATTCATTTAAGCTGGATTCTAGGTAGAGTCTAGTAGACATATTTTCTTTATTTTTAGAGACATAATATTTTTCTCAGAATATAAAATGTTTTATGTTGCTAAGAATCAAATAGGTATTAGCTTCACAACATAAATACTATTTAGCTTTTAAAAATATAAAAATTGATACTAATTTTTGTGTATTAAAAGGTGGATTTTTGTTGATCTCATATTTTATTACACTTGTTTTAGAAATGTTTTACTTGTGGCAAGAAACTTACAGAATTGTTTCAGGGTTGCATGTCTGAGTATTATGGATAGTGAATTCATTTTATCTGAAATAATGTGTTACATATATTTATACATATGTAACTCATATGGCTTTAGGGAGAAAACACACATAGGTTGTTGCTGGGTAGCACAGTCGCGCGTGCTTTCCCTGGAGCAGTGAAGCGTAGACCTGCACTGTCATCAGTGGCTAGGTGAGCTGCGGAGCACTAGCTCTGACCCAGCCTGCAAGGCCGCCTGCGCTCACGCTCCTCTGAGGGCCTGCGGTGCCTGCACACCTGCAGCTGCTAGTGTTCTGGGGAGGAGCCCAGGACCTCTCCCCAAGCCGCACCCCGGCCCTGCCTTGTCCTGAGCCAGGGTCTCGCTGGTGTCCTGGACTGAGCCTGAGCTTGCACCCTCCCGCCTCCGCCTTCCCAGCTGCTGGGGTTACAGCCCCGCCATGTCCTCTCCATGTAGTTCTTTCTTCTGTAGGGCTGGACATGGAGGACAGCTTCCAGACTGCAGTGGTGCAGCTGACGTGCTCAGTGTGGAGGACAAGCGGCTCCTTGACACATGTATCTCTGGCCCGTGAAGTCTCTCATTAACTTTGCGCGCTAAGCTTTAAGTGCACTTTTTCATCTTTGTGTTTTAGATTCATTATGAGGCATCATGCACGTCATAAGTAGTCAGATAATTTGAAAAGCTCCCTGCAGAAAGCAGTCTTGATTCTTTGGTTTTTGTGTCACGTGTTTTTATTGGGGCTCATGAGACCATGACCTATGTTTGGTCAAGTAAGGAAATTGAAGGGTAAATGTTTCAAGGCTGAGAATCTCGTTCTGCGGGATGTGTGCTGCTCAGTGCGATTTGTGCCATTGTTTCCTTGGCAGATAAGCGCGTGGAGAACTGGCCGCTCATGCAGTCGCCATGGCCGACCCTCAGCATAAGTACGCTTTACCTCCTGTTCGTGTGGCTGGGCCCTAAGTGGATGAAGGAGCGGGAGCCGTTCCAGATGCGCCTCGTGCTCATTGTCTATAACTTTGGGATGGTTTTGCTTAACCTCTTCATCTTCAGAGAGGTAGGTTCACGACGGGCGCTTGTGGGCATTCCCAGGGCTGGTGCCAGCTACGAGCCGGAGTGTGGGAGGCTATAACTTTATGGTCTTGTGCCCTGAGGTGACTGTACTTACTCTACACATGAATCTCTGGCACTTGCAAGACTTGGATTGCAGTAGTAGTAAGCTGCAAGGATGGGATGGTTTAAAGTGGAACTTTGCATCAAAGAATGGCTTCTGTCCTTACTCTCACCGGCAGTTCTGATGCTGGAAGCATACTTTTCTTAGCTTCATTTTCCTCATCTCTAACACAGGGCATTACCTGTCATCCGAGGTTAGTGTCAGAGTTAAGTGAGATAGTATTTTCATGGTATTGGTACATAGTAAATACTCAGTAAACAATGACAGCAATTTTTTTCTTTTTGGATTTTTTTTTGAGACAGGATCTTGCTGTGTAATCTAGGCGGGCCTCAAGCTCAGCGATCCTTCCGCCTCAGCCTCCGCCGTGCTCATATCACAGGCGTGGGCCACCAGTCCTGCTAGCAGTCATTTCTTATTCATCAGTTTTGATCAAATATGTGGATGTAAATACCCATTTATAGTTAAATCCTATTATGTAGTTTTATTGTAATTTGGGTTGAATCTAAATAAGTTAATTGTTAACAACCCAGATAGCTATTGCTGCTAACCATCATGTGCTTTTCTGGACACCAATAAATCCTCCATGACAGATGAAAGGAAATCCTGGGCCGAGACTGACGCAGCCAGTTTTCAAACTGCAAGGGTAGAAGGAATTTGTTCGCTAAGAGATTTGTTCAGGGCCAGGGAGATAGCTCAGTGGCATAAGCACCTCTCTGGCAAGCGCAGGGTCCTGAGTTTGGTCCCCAGTACCAGAAAAAAAGAGAGATTTACTCAAATTCTATAGGTGTCCAGAGGACTGACTCGTGATGCTTGGAAAACTAACAGCAATTCTTCTTTTAAAAAAAATCTTTTGGTTTTGACAACTTAGCTTATGGAATCTCAACTTCACAAAATCTTTAGATACCTTAAGTTAACTTGTTAGATATGTACCACATTGCCTCAAGACTAAAGTCAGTTAGATAGGACAGCTCTTGGACCCAAACATGGCATCAGAGTTTCTCTTAACATTATGAAATCGAGGGCCCAGGAGATGGCTCAGTGGAATAAGCGCTTCCCTGGCAAGTGCAAGGATCTGAGTTCAATCCCCGGTTCCGAAAAAAAAAAAAAAAAAAATGAAATCGAGTTGATGTCTCAGTCTTAACAATTATATTTGATTTTTAATTTACACTATGATTACAATAGAAGTGATACTAGTAACTTTTAGAAATCCTGAGGGGCGGGGGAGATGGCTCAGTAGAATAAACACTTCCCTGGTAAGTGCAAGGGTCTGAGTTCAATCCCTGGTTCTGCAAAAAAAAAAACCCAAACCAAACAACAACAACAAAAAAAACCTGCTAAGAAATCCCAATGCTATAAGTGTTTAAAGAGTTGGGAACTTTTTCAGAAAATAATTGCTTTTAAAGTAATGTGCAAGGATACATGTTGAATTTAGTGTTTTAAATGTTGTGTCTACTAAAACTTGACTCCACATATGGCCGTTTCTTCCAGCTGTTCATGGGATCATATAATGCAGGATACAGCTACATTTGCCAGACTGTGGACTATTCTAATGACGTGAATGAAGTCAGGGTAAGTGTGTCGCGCATGCTGCCGGCTGGCTCAGCGTGTTCCTTCATCCAGTGGTGCAAGGGTGTGTGTATGTTGGATTACTGGAAAATAGGACCTCTAAGAAGTTCTGTTTCATATAAAAATATTATAAGCCACTGTTTATAATATTTTATTTTATTTTCTAATCACATTAGGAAAACGACCATTTAAGTGGCAGAAATAGCACAGTATCTCGCTTTACTAATTAGTGAACGGTTCTTGTACACTGTGGTTCATATGGGAAATTGTATGTAACATAAAACGTGTTATGTTTTATGTTATATGTAAAACATGTAATTGGGAAACATCGCTTTCTGGCTTGAGTTGAGACAGTGCAAATATCCCTACTCATCCATGCCCAGACCAGGGCCCATTAGTGTACAGTTTCCATTCCCATCTTCATTACCCTGTGAGAAAGCTGGCAGAAATGAAAAGTCACCTCTTTGGTCATGTTGGTTTTACTCACGTGCCTTGTGTGCACTGAGCCCGCTCTCTGCAGACACTGGGAGTGCAGGCGGGAGCCAGGTGGGGTATCTGCCTCCACAGGGCTGATGAAGCGGTCAGGAGGAGAGTGTTGGGAAGACACCTAGCTTAGATTTGCCGTAGGCTCCTGCGTCGCCCTGCAGCCTCCTCGATGGAGCTGGCCTCTTGCTTGTGTGGGAAGAGTGGAAGGAGAGGTGCCTGGCTTGTGTTTGGCTGAGCGCATGCTTGGAAAAGGCAGGCAAGTACTGGTATTGCCAGGGTGAAGATTCACAACTAGCACTCCGTGAATTACAAAACTATCTCCAGCATTTTAAGTAAAAACCCACCTATTGTGTGAGTTGTAACGTATGAGAAGAAAGAACCTGCGAGTTGCAACAGGTTGTATTAGGAGTCGTCCTCTCCCTCCCTCTTCTAGTAGGGGATGCAGGAGGAGGAACATTGTACTCATAAGAAATATTTTTATGTTCATTATTATGTAGCTCAGGAGTATATTTTCTTACTATTCAAAGGGACCCAGTGCAATTTAACACTAAGGAGAATTACTTATTATTGTAGGGAAATCGTGGCAAGTTTAGAGGCCCAAATGGAGGAAAAATAAGATAAGGCTTTCATCTTAGATAAGATTTACTATGCCAAATAGTTTTCGTTACTTTATTTTAAGGTACTAGCAGGGGCTGGGAATATAGCTCAGTGGCACAGCACCTGCCTGGCAAGTGTGAGGTCCTGAGTTGAATTCCCAGTACAGAAAATAAAATAAAGTGTTAAGAGGATTGTAAATGTTAACTACTGTTGAGTGTTCAAGGGTTTCAAGCCTGTTATCAACCAATTTTGTCCATTTCAACTTGTCCAAAACAGTTCGGTAAATGATTCTCAAGAAATTTATAAAAATACGACTTTTAAAAATTTGATCTTTCTCTTCCTCTTTGTCCATGTTTTAAAATTATAACTAGGGGGGTCATTCTGCTTTATGGGCTGAGTTGCCACCCAGTTGTGAATTCAAGCTGAAGCCAAGGGCTGGGCTCAGTGCAAGAGCATTTGCCTTCGGTGCTCTGCTCGGTGCTGTGTTCTGTCTCCGACCCACAAATGAAGAAACAGTAACTTTTCTTTTTTGATTTTTTTTTTTTTTTTTTTTTTTTTTTTTTTTTTGGTGGTACCGGGGATCAAATTCAGGGCCTTGACTTTGCCAGGCAAGCACTTATTCCACTGAGCTATCTCCCCAACCCCCAGTAATTTTTCTTTTCACATGGGAAAATAAAAACTCAGAATCTCAGCTGTGAGAACACAAAATGAGGACAGGACCTGTGCCCTCTGCAGCCCCGGATCTGTCTGTGGCTGGATCTGCCACGTCTCTGGCACGCACAGTTATAAGTAGATTTGTTACACTTTGTATGATTTACTATTTTTACATAGGACACAAAATATTTGGTATAAAACAGTTGTTTCAGTTACTGTTGCCGCAAGATTCTTGTAAAATGCTGTAAACTGTGCACACACACATCCACACAGAGACACATGCAGAGGTCACCTCTTGGTGGGTCCTTAATCTCAGCATGCAGTGTAATCTTTCTGCACCATCTGGTGTCTTAAGTAGAGCCCAGAGAGAGAAGACCTACGCATGTAAACAGGATTATATTTATGACCTGGGAAGTAACTTTTTGCCTTTGTTCGTTCATTTCATCATTTGAAGGACTTGAACGTCTGATATGAACGGTCTTCTTTGCTATTCATTTTGTTGTACATGTTGAAGTGAGACGCTGAGCAAGACCAGTTGTATAAGTGTACCGTAAATTCTCGAGGGATATTATCTGAGCTGTACACGAACAGCTGACTTATCTTTACAAAGTAAACTTCTTTATTTCTGTCCCAAGATGAAGAGCATAGCAGTGTGAACATGTTTGTAACCTGCATTCAGCACTTTGCACTGTGACATCCGTCTGATTAACTGACAGACTTCTCTAGATTACTGCCCATGAACGGACACAGCTATGGATGTGTTCTTTTCCTTTTGTGCCCCATAAATGTTTACGACCTTTCTAGAACAAATGATTCTATGTCTTGAATATTTTGTGCAATGTGTTTTGGAGCTAACAATGAGTAGAAATCCAAATGAGAATATCGTCCGGTGTTTATAGCTTGCTTTGCATCCGTGTCACAGATAGCTGCTGCACTGTGGTGGTACTTCGTGTCTAAAGGAGTGGAGTATTTGGATACAGTGTTCTTTATCCTGAGGAAGAAAAACAACCAAGTTTCCTTCTTGCACGTGTATCACCACTGTACCATGTTCACTCTGTGGTGGATTGGAATTAAGTGGGTTGCAGGAGGACAAGGTAGGCGTGGGTCACGTTGCTTGGAATGTGTGGGCGGAGGGACCAGAGGCCTGCAGTTGGACTTGGCCTAACTTCTCGCTTCCATGGTTAATCCTCTCTGTGTTCATTTCATGTTTTAAAAAGAAGAAAGCGAAGCTTCAGCCTACATGTGACTACGTTAGTATCTAGGCATTTGCCCAGAGATGAATGGAACCCAAGTGCAAATGTGCGAGTCGTACTTGGCTGGGACTAGCTCTCATTATGTCCCAGAGCATCAAGACTCACCTCCTCTGCCTGCAGATCCCATCTTCAGCTGAGTCTGGCGCTCACCTTAAGTGCTCTCGCTGGTCTCACCTCAGTGAGACCACACAGCCTCTTTGATGTTAGAGAGGTGTGAACTCACAGTGCTGAGACTGGCCTCTGGTCTGTTCAGATGCCTATAGACTTAAGTGTGATGCAGGTAGCTGAGCTGGAAGTGCACTCGCCTCTGCTGCGCTCCCAAGGTCCAGGCCTGTGGTGCACGCTGCGCTCCCAAGGTCCAGGTCCTGCGGTGCATGCTGCATCCCCAAGGTCCAGGTCCTGCGGTGTACACTGCACTCCCAAGGTCCAGGTCCTGCGGTGCATGCTGCACTCCCAAGGTCCAGGCCTGTGGTGCACACTGCGCTCCCAAGGTCCAGGTCCTGTGGTGCACACTGCACTCCCAAGGTCCAGGTCCTGTGGTGCACGCTGCGCTCCCAAGGTCCAGGTCCTGCAGTGCATGCTGCATCCCCACGGTCCAGGTCCTGCGGTGCACACTGCGCTCCCAAGGTCCAGGTCCTGCGGTGCACACTGCACCTTGTCATTTTCATTGCTATAGGGTAATTGGCAAATTAGGAGTTTATGCCGACAAGTGAATATTAGGAACCCAATTTCAAAAATTACACTTAAACTGTATAATTTTAAAAAGAGAACTGGTAATCCTGACCTGACCTCTTAAATTACTTTATGGCAATGTTCATTATTATTATTATTGTGTCTATACTCTGACTTAATATTCTCAAAAGAAAAAATGTTACTGACTTAGACTGACTGGAATATCTTTAGATTTATAGATGCTAAATTATCTATATGTATAGTGCTGCCTTTTTTATTTTGCTGGTATAGTAAACATTCAGAATTTATTTTTCCCTTGACTTAACAATATTAAAGAAATTATCTTTTTTTTTTTTAATTTTTTTTTTTTATTTTAACATTTAGTGTGTGTGTGTGTGTGTGTGTGTGTGTGTGTGTGTGTGTGGCCAGCTCAGCCCACCAGGGGGCGCGGCTGGCTGGCGTGTGGTGCTGGAGGATTGAACCGTGGTCCCTATGCTTTGCCAAGCTTGTTCCAAGTAGGTGCTTTAGACCACTGAGCCATCTCTCCAGCCCCTAAAGAAATTATCTTAACAAATAATTATGACCACAAAAAAGTTAGATAACCAGAAATAAGTTGCAACATAAAATTATAAGCTTAATATTATGAGGCCAAAGGACTGAAAGGTGTTGTAGGTTGGCATTACTTCTGGAGGTTTTAGGCAAGAATTTGTCTTCTTTCATTGACAATTTTGGTTTGTCTTACTTTGCTAATGATCTCTTATATTTTTAAGTTATATAGAAACTTTAATAGTGTTTTGTTGACATGTATATTTGTAAATTTCCTAAAAAATTTTATATGTGCAATAACCATTTTCTCCCAAGAGTAGTAGAAATAATAGGTCCTAGCTACCCCACCAGCGTGCTCCATTTGAAACTTACCACTTTGAAAGCCCTTTGTGTTTGAGCAACACACATTAAGCTCTGATGTGAACTTTAAAAATATCTCACTTGATTTGAGAGTGTTTTCCTTAGTACTGCTTTGTCTTTCAGTCAGCATGTGTTCTCAAGATATTACAAATAAGGTGGATTTTTCTTTAAAATCTCAGTGGGTTCTTGTCTAGTAACGTTTTCTGCATCTTACCATTTCCTTTTGTGTTTCTGAAGCGTTTTTTGGAGCCCAGATGAATTCCTTTATACATGTGATCATGTATTCGTACTATGGCTTAACTGCATTTGGCCCATGGATTCAGAAGTACCTGTGGTGGAAGCGGTACCTGACCATGCTGCAGCTGGTGAGTGCAGTGCTCCGACGCGGCTGCCGGTGAAGTGCTTGCAGGGCTTGCGTGTTTAGTTGTGATGTGCTAGGTCATTTTAGGCCCTTCACCTTGAAAGCGCACCTCCTCTAGCTGTTCCTTAGGGCTGTGTAGTTCTCATACCTGCTCCTTGGCTTCCCGACTGCAGCGGTTTGTTTTTCTAGGGTCCTTGAAGACCAGTGTCACCCCCTAAGCAGCATTCTTTAAAAGCACCTGTGGAATGGACAGTTGAAAATCTTGGCACATCACAGAGGACCTAGGTTCATGTACATAACACTTTTTAGACTGAAAATTTTATTGCCTTTATCTTGTCTTCGCTTAGCTTATCTTTTATTCCATGTTTAAAGTTCCTGTTAACAGAGTCCTACACTTAGACTGTGAAGATGAAAAGGAGACGTAGAGCCAGGCAGGGGTGCAAAGGCAGGGCTGAGGGCTAGAGCGCTCACTTCGCTTGCTAAGCTGCGCTCCTTGACGAGTGAGCGGAGCAGGCGTCTCCATGCGGGGAAGGGCTCTGTCTCGGAGCAGCAGTGTTCAGCACCTGCCCAGAGCTGGGTGTCTTGTCCTGGCCTATAATCAGTCGCAAGATCCAAACTAAGTGGTAGTTAATCGCCAGCCTTCAGAATTTATCATCACTTGCTGTAATCACAGTGTACACAGTTTTATCAGTGGAATCACATGTGGAAACACTGCCTATCTCTGCTGTGAGTTACTAAGCAGATGCCTGGCCAAACAGGAAGCACAGCTTTTGCGGTGTGCTGGGGGAAGGTCTCCGTGGCGGCCAGGTGCTGCGGGAGGCTCCCCCAGCTTGGTGCGAGCTGCTCACGCAGTCTGCATCGTTCACTTCTCTCAGTGATTAGTGACTCATCCAGGGGACGTGAAGAAGTGACCAGAACCGTGTGGGAGCCCTGTCAGATGCGTCTGGCGGGAGCACTGTCAGATGTATCCGACTGGGCCTGGTCCCTCATGGGTGACACCAGGGCATCAGGCCCACCCGGCCCACGTCCTCGCTTGCTGGTATAGCTCCAAGGACCACTGTGAACCAGAGTTCTTACTCTTGGGACTTTTGCAGTGCGAAATTGTAAAGGTTGCTCAATGTAAATTTCTGGCCTACCTGGAATCAATTATTTTAATAATATTTAATATGACAATATTGATAATGCTGTCCTTAAAATAAGAAGCTATAATTACCCACTCCAGATAGGGGTTTTAATTTGTATTTCCAAGTGAGAAGTTCTTACAGTAGCTAGGAAGGTCAGTTCACTTTATAAAAAGTTAGCCCATTAACACCCTAGAACTTAGACTTCTTATAGCAGAAACCATTTTATTAGTACATCAGAATTTCAAATTACTTTAATCATCTCACTTTTAGCTTTTCTTCTTTTAAGAACTTTTAAAATTGAAAGTAATTCTTTTTTTTTTTTTTTGGCACTTATTCTGCAATATCTAAATTTTTTCAGCATATTAAAGAATAGTATGCAGGGCCGGGGAGGTGGCTCAGTAGAATAAGTGCTTCCCTGGCAAGCACAAGGGTCTGAGTTCAATCCCCAGTTCCACTGGGGGAGGAAAAAAAAAAAAAGAATAGTTCATTCAAAGGCATGTTTGCCCATCTACTGTCCATAAGACATGAGTATTAAGCCGGTTTGCTAAGTTCAGTTTTAATGTGTATGTACCTGCTCGCTGACCATTAGGTAGAAGATAATCCGTCTAAAATGTGGGAGGACAACAGATCGAAGACCCCGCTGTGCAGCTGCCTAGCCTTCTCAGCTGCGCTAGTGTGCAGACTACATTCAAGTAGGCCCGGATCGGGCCCGGCCTCGAGGACCGTCACGGGCGAGGCCGCCTTGCCTTCGGGAGCTGCGTGCATAGGAAAGCTAGATAGTGGAGAAGTCGGTAGACAGAAAGGCGGCTTCCCCATGAGTCAGCTTTCGTACACACACAGCCCATTTGCCTAGTGGTGACAGGATGGCAGGCAAGAGGAAGCCCTTGCTGACCTGAGGGCACCTGAGTGACATGGCCCCAGACACTTTGAAACTTTGTGAGCAGTGTGGCAGAACTTGGGCCTATTGCCGGGCTCAGTGGCGCATAGCTGTAATCCCAGCACTCTGGAGGCTGAGGCAGGAGAGCATTGCTAGTTGGAGACCAGCCTGGGCTACAAAGTGAGTTCAAGGCCAGCCTGAACTGCATAGTGAGACCCTGTCTCAAAAAACAAAAAACAGCCAACCCAAACCAAATATCCCCAGCGTGCGCTGGGCTCTCAACTAGGCGTGGAAGACTCAGGTGTTGTTACGAAAGTCGCTCACTGTGCAGGCTGACTTGTTCTTTCAGGTCCAGTTCCACGTGACCATCGGGCACACGGCGCTGTCACTCTATACCGACTGCCCTTTCCCCAAGTGGATGCACTGGGCCCTGATTGCCTACGCGATCAGCTTCATATTTCTCTTTCTCAACTTCTACGCACGGACATACAATGAGCCTACGAAAGCAAAAACTGGAAAAGCGGCCATGAATGGCATTTCAGCAAATGGCGTGAGCAAGTCCGAGAGGCAGTCAGTGGTGGAGAACGGAAAGAGCCAGAAAAATGGAAAGCCGAAGGGAGAGTAAATGGAGCCGGGCCTTCACTGTTGGTGGCAGTAAGGGAACTCCTACGTCATAAACAATTTCAGGGAAAGCAGACGAAGGAAAGGAGGGCTTGGGGTGGGGAGGAAGGCAGATGTGCTTCACGTACTGGTAACCGTTAGGCTGAGTCAAGTGTTCACTACAGTACCCAGATGTTGTATTTATGAAGTCTTTATTTTAAACTTTTTTATTCACCTCAGTGTTGTCCAGACCAAAGCGACCGTAATGTGACTTTGAAGACTCCTTTTCGTGCCCATTTGTCTATCCTGCAAAAGCTGTGTGTAGCTTACGTGCTCCGCCCCTCCTCAGAAGGTCAGAGGGCCACACCTACGTGAGCTCTTCAGTTTTTTTGACCGGATTACTAATTACCTTAACTGATTAAAGTCAGTTACCTTAAATTTTCTTGTCCAAAGCTGTAAATGTGGTACATTAAAATTTGCACATTTGAATTCATTTGTTGACTGAATGGTCAAATCTCTCCACCTCTAGTCAGAATATATACTTTTGGTCTTAATTAAATTTTAAAAAATCTGCTCATCTCTGTAGAATCTTAGAGGCTTGATGATGATGGTGTCGGTGAAAATAGGAAAGAGTTACATTACAGCTCTGCGTGTGCCCAGGGGCCACGGCTCGCGGCACAGGCCACTGCGGGCGGCGGTTTTTATGATGAAAAATGGCCTTTGTGTGCTATTTGAAGTGGAAATGTATCATGAAATTGAAATTATTGTCTGATTAAAACATGAAGTAACTCACGTCTTTATTACTTATGTCATCAGATAGTTACAGTTGTGTGCTGTTCAAAGAAAATACATTGATTTTTATCAGGCGTTCCTTGTTTTAAATTGTGGCTGATACTGATTTTTTTATATGTGGAACTATACCTACCTCTTCTGCTGGGAAGAACATTTAAAATTAAATAAATTTAATAAAAAAATCAAGGAGTTCTCTAATATAAATTTTAATTTTCACTTTGGAATGCACTAATATTTTTTGGCTTTTTTACAAATAGCATACACCAAACATTTCTGTGAAACTATCCTTCTCTTTCAACATGTTTAATTTTGGGAGTGATATTTCCTTTGTAACTAAGTTGCAAAATTTTATTTATTAACTAGATAAGTGGGTCAGCCCATTTGGGTACAGTATGCTTGGCTCCTTGGTGCTAAGGGTCGTTAAATTCAGTGCTTGATGTCACAAGGTATTAATCATTCAATACAAAATGAATAAAGGCATTTTTATTCAGAACAATAGAGTCAGAGCAATCAAGTTGAAGTTGCTATTTACAAATGAACTATTTCCTGTAACGACAATGAACAACTGGAAGTAAATAGGGAAAGGGAATGTGTACCGTGTCTGTTACATAAGTTAATATCTTTGGGAGATGTCACAGAGGAGTCAGGACAGAAAGAGAGATGTGACAAAAGCAGCGAGACTGTCTCCAGCTCACACTTTGTCAGAACTGCATGTGTAGGACGTGTGCTGTTTGTACAAACTACTTCAGAATATTTTGTAAACTGTAAAATATTTATTGTGCATTAAAATTACGTATTTTCCTTGAAAGGCATGCAGTCATAAGAATGACCGAAAATTTGCAACACATGCAATAGTTTGACCTGAGAGGATTCTACGCCTTTATTTTTGCTCTTCAGCGTGTAATGACTAGAGATTTGTCAATCTTTGTGAACATTCTGTACTGGATCCCAAGAGCTCTTCCTTCCCTGTTACCTGATTTCAGCACAATAAATATACTACTGCTGTGAGAAAATGAGGTGTCTGTTTTGTAAATCAGTTCAGTGTACTGTGGCTGCTAAATATTTCTATATATGATCAAGTTGTTACAGTGCTTCATTCCTGCCTGTCACCGTTTGAGGGCTCCTGAGGAGGGCATAGGTTCCAGCCTCCTGCAGGTGGTGCCTGCCGCCGCAGAGCTGAGCGGAGCAATGGGGACAGCGATGTCCGTCTAGGTAGGCCCCAGCCATGGAGCCGAAGGAGGACACTGCTCAGCGCAGGTGGTTCTGACCAGTGACCTCGGACAGGGCTGTCACACTGGGCTGTCGGAGGACTTGTGGTCGGCCCCTGGCATTCGAAGCTGATGAGTTTTGAAGATAAGGGTAGTTGTGAAAGGGAAAAACAGCAGTACAAACCCTGTCTGAGGACACAGCCTCCTTTATACGTTACAGAGGGAAGGCACAGATGGCTTTGAATTTGTTTTTAGTGAGATGCCTGACTTAAATTCAGAGTCCTCAAGGAGAAATGACTGATATCATGGCCAGAGTGGGGCTCAGTAGCCCGGCGCTCGTTGTGTAGCATCACCAGCACCACCACAACAAAACAAAATAGGAGTGCTGTGTAAGGGCTCTTCTACAGGAGAACTGCTCAGATGCTGGGCCCCAGAAGCCCTGCAGGCGACTGAGGAGGGGCTCCCTCGTGCCTCCATGGCTGGCAGCACATGTGACTGGGCAAGCAGCAGAAGGGCATAGTGCTAGTGGCTTCCAGACTTGTGGGCTTAGGTTCTGTCATATCCTTTGAGTAATCAGAGCTTTTTGGCTACCTGTTTATAAACCAGAATTTAGGGTCTCTGCTTCTAATCCTTGTCCTTGTCCCACGTAAAGGTATGTTTGCTGATCCACATCCACACACACTTGGCTTCAGAATATCTTTGCTTCTCAGACTCGTCGTGTCTCGGGTAGAAACTGACCTTAGATCTATTGATCTTTTCCCCCGTTATCACACGCAGGGTTTGTCCTGGGAGTGTGTCTTAAACTAGTCTCTCCCTTGAAACCAAGTCGTGCCGAGACACAGCGCATGATATCTATCTAATTACATAATGCAGCTCTCAGGAGGGCCTAGTGTAGGTGAACATCTACACGGAAAATATGTTCAAATTGAAAGCCTCCCCAAGCGTGTCTTGGGAGGCTTACTAATACAGCTATTTTTAGAAAGGGTTTCAATATTCTTTCCCTATTTAGGTACAGTACTATGAGCTTAGTACTGTCTCATTAGCCCATAAGCACAGTGGGGTATGTGGCTACTTTGTCAGTCTCTGAATATCCTTTGTCATGGTTTGGAGTTTTTGCAAGAGGAACCACATAATATAGGATACATTCTATACTAGTATTTTATAATGAATCACCCAGGAATTACATATGAGAAGTGCAGGAAATCTGCCCACACACATAGTACTGAAGACTCCAGCTCAGGACTTCGATGCTAATGTCTTACATGAGTCCAGCTGAAAACCTAGAGCTCCTAACAGTGTCTCCCACCAGGCCCACTGGGGGCCTACAGGGTACAACAAAGTCCCATGCAGGCCTGCTTCATGGATCTGTGCTGGGAAGGCCCAAAGGTCAGTGGTGGGAGCTAGGCCAGCCAGATGCCAGCGATATGAAAGATCTGTGCTAGGGGCCGGGCAGATGGCTCAGTGGAATAAGCGCTTCTCTGGCAAGTTCAAGGGTCTGAGTTCAGTCCCCGGTTCCGCAAGGAAAAAAAAAAAAAAAAAGCAAAAATAAATAAATAAATAAAAACATAAAAAAAAGATCTGTGCTAGCAGGCCGAGGGATCTGAACTGAAGCCAGGAAGCGACACTCAAGGTAAGTGCCAGGGCTCCCCCAATGATACCACAGCCATCTTTAGCAACAGTGAGGTCCCCAGCTCCTCCAGCGATGAGGCAAGCTGAGTTCCCATTAGGAAAGTCAGTGCAACAAGCTTCTCATGAGGCTGAGGAGGGCACCATCTTTCCCTCCGGAGCCAGGAAGCGATGCTCAAGGTGAGGACCTGAGCTCCTCCAAAGTTCATGGGGAAAGCCAGCGTGACAAAGTCTTCCAGCAGGACAGCCAAGAGAGCTAGCAGCTTCCAACACTTCTCCAAACAACATCCCTAGCAGCGTTCTGGCAGGTTCTCCTGTTCTGCCTTTATGCTGCTGACAACAACCTTCAGGTGGGCCACCCGCACCCAGCACCACACTACTTTAATTCAGCAGGGTGTAATAAGTTGACCACCGGTTAGAGCTCCACTATATCCTTGAATTCATCTTTTTTTTTTTTTTTTTTTTTTTTTTTTTTTCAGGGGGGAGTCAATTTTGGAGAACCCTGTTAGATAATTTCTTTCCAGTTTTGATTTTTTCCCTTTGATTTGCCACAGAGAGGTACTTTCTTTGTCATCCGTGATACGCTGTATTTAAACTGAGTTTCTCCTCCTTGTGAAGAATCCAAAGAACCAGTTGCTCAAGAATAGTGATGACCTAGCATTTTGGTAATGAGATGAGTAGATTATGTGCTTTCCATTATAGTGCCGGCAGCAGCCCGCCTTGCCTTCGAGTGTGATCCAGTTTCCCTGCTCCAGGGATCCTGAGCAATGTTTACGTGTGTGTCACCAGACAGAGAACAAGCTATTCACATGCACTTGGTTTCAAACATTCTGGTTCTAGCTCTCATCGTTGAAATTTAATAAAAGACATTGCATGGTCTTAAAAGTGATGATTGCTCTTCAAAGTAATATTTACTCAAAAGTGTTTTCATTTTGCTTGACGTGTGGGCAGCCCTATACAAGTGGTATCTAATCTTATCCCCAGAAAGAAAAGTAGCTGGGAAACTTACGAGGCCGAAAGAAAAACCAGATCAGTTTGGAGAACAAATTTTGGGTTTATCAGTAGAGCTGAGATTTGAACCCAGAGGTTCACCCTAAAATTTAACTCCTTGAGATCCAGCACCATCTTAAAGTTTCTACACAAGACTTACTGGCATGCCAGCCCCATTCTCGTTCTCCAGGTATAGTCAGTCTCTCCTCTCCTGCAGTACAACAGAAGTGAGAAATTTAAAATTTCACAGATTCTGTTGTGATACTTTCAGATTCAGTTTTTGTCAACAGGAGATAATCATAATTGAACTTTTAGGAAGGCAGAAGACAGATGCAACAGGCCTGCAGGAGTTCACTTAGGTCAGGGAGCTCCTGCAGACAAATGTGTGGGCGACAGCTGGGTTACATGGTCTCCTCTTTCCAATGCTTTCGTGGATGCAGACAGTGATGAAGGTGGCAACAGCGAAAGCAGATGTCATGCACATGTGAAGTCAAAGGCTGAGGGGGTTCCTGCCTTTTGGTTTTACAAGTTACTAATCACTTTATAAGCATCTAATCCTTTGAGTTAAAAACTGTGCTGCTTCAAGTAGCTTGATCGGTGTCTATTTCCTTACTGAACCTTATCTAACTCACCATTCAGCACCAAAATGCGATAAAGAAATAGCCTTTTAAAGATAATAGGAGATTGGTTATGTGACTTGGAGTTTTTAGGTAGTAGAAGTACCTATAGATCAGTAAGAAATTGTCTACTAAGTTTTCCAGGAGGCAAATAGCTAGGATGCAGCGGCTATTCAGAGCAGGATGTTTGTCATGCTAAGAGGGTGCTGTGGTACATTGTGACACAGACAAGGGACAGATGACTTGAATGGCCAGGCTGCCTCTGATTACACTGCAGAGGTTCCAGAAAGCAAGCTGGTCTGTGCCTACATTCTTAGCATAAAGCCACAACAGGGGAGCTTCCTTTGCTGCCCTAGTAGCCGTCCTGAGAGAAGCAAGCTTCTATGCCTGCCTTATGGAGCTCTATCGTATTGTATAACTGCACAACTAAAGTGCCTACAAACAAGGCCTAGATTTGAACTCTGGGTTATCCATTAAATTAAGCCTCTGTACATTTTCCTAAGCAAAAGTTGATTGGGAAGGACGAAACTCAAAGAGTTAGAATGTGGATACTTGGCTAGGGCTGGATGAATCTGAGCATTTTGAGTATCTAAGTATGGACCGAGAAAAGCAGTCTTTTCTCTTGTATGAGGTGATGCTAGGGGGGCAGCGAGATAGGTCAGGGAACTAAGTGCCTGCTAAAGCACAAGGACCGGGGTTCGATCCCCGGCACCACATGCTGTGCTACCCGCCCACCCCCCCAGGCGTGCTGAGCTGGCCACTGAGACCAGGCGTGGTGGTGCACACTTGTAATCCCAGCACTGGGGAGGCTGAAAACAGGAAGATCAGAGCTGTGAAGTGAGCCCCTGTACCGAATACATTAAAAAAAAAAAAAAAAAGATGATACTAGTCTCTTGTTTCTTAAGATTCCATAGTGACCTCCATCAAGGTGGTTACCTACCCAGGGGATGCTGGCCCTTCCTACGACTGTGGCAGTTAAAGTACTTGATTGCCTTGGGATGCCCTAGGGTGGTGGTGGCGAACATAGAGCATGGTGCTGCAGCTGGCTTTGTTACTTCTGAAAACTCTAAAAGGTTCGCCATCACCAATCTAGGGGATTAGTGAAACACTCTGGGTGCTCTCGGTGGGTCATGGAATTGTGATCTTGGGTCCATGTTTGGCCCCTCACCTCCTTCTGCTCCTTTGCCACCTCTTGGTCACTGTGAGGTAAGCAGCATCCTTTGCCAAAACTGATGGCCCTGTCTGGAAGCCAAGGACCGTGAATTGAATTCTCAGAAACTGAGCGAATAAACCACTTTTGTTTTGAGTTGTGTGTCAGCTGTTTGGTCCCTGCACCAGGAAAATGGACCAATGTAGTCTGCCCTCGATTCTTAGAAAGCCATCAGCTCTATAAGGCAACGAACTTGTTTTCATTGTTTAATTTTTAAATTTGTTTTAGAGACTGTTCTCACTATGCTGCCCATACTGGCTTCAAACACTTGGGCTCAAGTGATGTGAGTAACTGGACTATGGGAAGGCACCATGGCTTATTTCTACAAAGAGAATTATATTACTGAGTGACACAGGGGACAG